TCGTTAGTTTAATAAATCTTGACGTACATTTCACAACATTAAGGCCGACGTAAGTAGGCGAAGAAGAAAACACAAGACGGTGCAATGTGATGCATTTATATGTTTTGTTTGTTGTCACGGCAGATATTTGCCTGAGGATCACAGGCTCAAGGACTGCGGTTTCGATTGTATTTACGTTTTCTGTTACTGGAATTATCAGTTTACTCTTTGCGCGAAAAATAAAAGTGTAAAGTTTGTTTTGAAGCTGTAGATACGATTACGTCCCGTGAGAAAGTGGATCTCGAGTGGTTCGAAAGATTGATTCCTGTCGTGGCGGATGTTGAGAGAAAATATCGATTATTGACTCATTTATGGAATTACAGATGATGAGTCACGTTCATTTCACCGATTTACAAAGAAAATTTTTACTTTCAAAAAAATCTAGTTCTAATGTGACCAAAATTAGACAATTAAAGTGGCATTTTTGTAAAAGTCTGAGAACTAATTGCTCGATCGTTATAAGTTGCTAAGTAACTGTAATAATTTGGAGTTTTTAACTACGATTTTTTACAGTTTGCTAAAGCAAATAATGATTAAATATATAGATAAATGTATTAAAAGATTATTAAGGTAAATGCATCAAAAAATTTCCAATTGATATAGATTCTACTGGTTTAAACGGTGCTCACAAAAAAAATTACTCGTTTAGGTAGTGTAAATTAATGAAAAAACATCTGTTTATGAAAAATTTAGTACGAAAACATTTGGATATTCATGTCACTTAAAATTCAACCACAACTCTCGTTTCAGCGTGAAGTTATCAATATTCAATCGATATTGCATGTTATACTAAGAAAAAACTGAAACTGCACGACACTGAATAAATTACAGTCACTTCTTTATTACTACTACTACTTATGATTCTGATATTTCGACAAAATAATGATAATAGTGCAATTCTCATAAAAAGTGAAAAGAGTAGTTCTCAAGTGTCCTTTTTATGTTTATGATAGTTGACAACTTACTACAGTTTCATTACAAAACCATTTTTGCAAAAACACATACCTAGAATTCTCGACTTTTTCACTTTAAATGACAACAACGCTTTGTTGTACATATACACACAACGGTATGTTATTTAGAATTAATTAAGTGAAAGAAAAATCCTTGTTTATAGTATATTAACTTATTTACCGAATTGTATGTTTGTGTTTCGCAATTTTTGTAATATTTACGTTAACGTCAGCCACTCTTTTAAATTCACAATTAAGAAGCTTACTCTATTTACACTTTTTAATAAGTGCGTAATAATTGATTAGATTATTTAGTTTTTAATGATCCTTCAGTTTTTAGATTTTACGATTTCTGAGATTTTCGACTCTTTGCGATTTTATTTTGCAATTTTTCGAGTTTCCAATTTTAAATTTTGTCGATTTTTATATTTTTGGATTTAAAAATTTTTGATTTTTCGGTTTGTAGACATCTTAATTTTTCGTTTTTGCAATTTTCCGGTTTGCAGTGTTTCGAGTTTTCAACTTAAATATTTTTATTTTTCGTTTCTTATTTGTTCTGTTTAAATGTTTTGATTTTTAGAGTTGTCAATTTTTTGTTGCTTTAATCTTTTTCAAGATTTCAAATTAAATATTTGAATTTTTACACTTTTGCAATTTTTTTTATTTTTAATTTTTCAATTTTTCGATTTTTCAGTGTTTGGATTTTTCAATTTTTAAATTGTTCAATTTTTCGATTTAAAATTTGTTTTTGCCTTTTTTCAATTTTTAAGTTTCTTCATTTTATTTTTTATTTTTCGATTTTTCATTTCTACAATTTTTCTTATTTTTGTTTCTTAGATTTTCAATTTCTCTCAATTTTTCGATTTATCATGAAATGTACGGCTTTTCAACTTTGCATTGTTTAATTTTTGATTTCTTCAATTTTTTTCCGATTGTTTTTGTTTAACTTTTCCGAGTTTCCAGATTTGTATTTTTTTGTAATTTCTCGAGTTTTCAATTGCTTCATTCCATATTTAAATTTTTTATTCTTTCATTTTTCAATTTTTCAGTTCTCCGGATTTTCAATTTCCTGATTTCATTTTTCAATTTTTTATTTTTTCAGTTTCTCGATTTGAAATTTTGCGACTTTTCAACTTTGCATTTTTTAATTTTTCGTTTCTTTAATTTTTCGATTTTTCTGTGTTTGGATATTTTATTTTTTGATTTTCCAAAATCGTTTTTCGTTCGTTTCCAAATTTTAATTTTTTTGCAATATCTCGAATTTTCAATTGCTTCATTCCATATTTAAATTTTTTGTTTTTCTATTTTTCGATTTTTCAGTTTTACGCTTTTGCAATTTTTCGTTTTTTCAGTTTTCGAATTTTCCGAATTTTGGATTTTTGTAATTTTTCGATTTAAAATTTTTCCAGTTTTCAACTTTGAATTTTCAGTTTTCTTATTCCGTTTCGTTTCTTCAGTTTTTCGATTTGCAACTTTCAATTTAAATTTTTTTTATTTTTCATTTCTTCAATTTTTCGATTAACAATTTTTCAATTTTTCAACTTTTCAGTTTTTGGATTTTTCGATTTTCAGACTGTTCAATTTTTCGACTTAAAGTTAGTGGATTTTTAATTTTGGATTTGTAGATATTTTAATTCTTCGTTTTTGCCTTTTTTAAATTTTTCTGTATCTTGATTTTATTTTTCGATCTTTCAGTTTCTCATGTCTTAAATTTTTCAATTTTACAATCGCAGGTTCTTGAGTTTTGAACTTGAAAAATTTTTATTTCCTGTTTATTCAATTTTTCAATTTCTTTCAATTTTAGGATTTATAATTTCTCAATAAGAAATTTTTCGACTTTTCAACTTTGCATTTTTTAATTTTTGGTTTCTTCAATTTTTTTCCAATTGTTTTTCGTTTAATTTTTCCGAATTTCCAAATTTATTTTTTGCAATTTCTCGAATTTTGAATTGCTTCATTCCATATTTAATTTTTTTATTTTTTCAGTTTCTCGATTTGCAGTCAATCGAGTTTTCAATTCTTTTAATTTTTCATTTCTTCAATTTTTCGATTTTTCAGCTTTTAGATTTAGATTGTTCTCAACTTTTCGATTTAAAATTTGTGTATTTTTAATTTCCGATTTATAGATACATATTTTAATTTTTCAAGGCAATTCAGTTTTTCAATTTTACAATTTTTCAATCCGCAATTTCATGAGTTTTCAACTTCAAATTTTTTATTTTTCGTTTCTTCAATTTCTTTAAATTTTTCGATTTATAATTACTCAATACGAAATTTTTCGACTTTTCAACTTAAGCATTTTTTAATTTTTGGTGCCTTTAATTTTTCCGTTTTTAGATATTTTATTTTTTGATTTTCTGATTCTTTTTCGTTCGTTCAACTTTTTCGAATTTCCAAATTTAATTTTTTTGCAATTTCTCGAATTTTCAATTCCTCCATTCCATATTCAAATTTTTTGTTTTTCCACTTTTCGATTTTTCAGTTTTACACTTTTGCAATTTTTCGATTTTTCAGTTTTCGAATTTTTCAAATTCTAGATTTTTCAATTTTTTGATTTAAAATATTCATATTTTTAATTTTTCAATTTGTATATATTTTAACTTTTCATTTTGGCAATTTTTCCATTTAAAATTTTTCAATTTGCAATTTTTCGAGTTTTCAACTTTCAGTTTTTTTATTTTTCATTTCTTCAATTTTTTTATTTAAAATTTGTGGACTTTTAATTTTCGATTTGTAGATATTTAAATTTTTCGTTTTTGCCTTTTTTCAATTTTTCAGTATTTTTATTTTATTTTTCTATTTTTCAGTTTTTCACTTTTCCAGTTTTTTTTTAATTTTCTTGAATTTTTCAATTTTTTCAGTTTTCCATTTCCTCAATTTTTCAATTTTACAATTTTTGCGATTTGCAGTTTTTTGAGTTTTAAACTACATATATTTTCTTTTATTTTTCGTTTCTTCAATTTTTCAATTTCCTTCAATTTTTCAATTTTTCTGTTTTTAGATGCCTATTTAATTTTTTGATTTTTCGATTGTTTTTCGTTCGTTCAATTTTTCCTAGTTTTCAAATTTAATTTGTTTTTTGCTTCATTCGATATTTCTTTTGCTTTTTTCGGATTTTCAGTTTTACGCTTTTGCAATTTTTCGATTTTTCAATTTTTGAATTTTTCAAATTGCAGGTTGTTGAAATTTTTCCTTTAAAATTTTTCAATTTGCAATTTTTCGATTTAAAATTTTTCAATTTGCAATTTTTCGAGTTTTCAACTTTCAGTTTTTTTATTTTTCATTTCTTCAATTTTTCGATTTAAAATTTGTGGACTTGTAATTTTCGATTTGTAGATAGTTAAATTTTTCGTTTCTGTCGTGTTTTCAATGTTTCAGTTTTTTTATTTTATTTTTCTATTTTTCAGTTTTTTATTTCTCCAATTTTTGAATTTACAATTTTCGGTTTTTCAGTATTAAAATTTTTATTTTTCAAAAGTTTTTAATTTTTCAAGTTAGATTGTTCAGTTTTTCGATTTTTGAGTTTTGCAGTTTTGCAATTTTTCAAAAAAACTTATACAAACTGAAGTTTTGAATTATTTTTCCTGGCAGACGTTACATTCTTGCACAAACACGATTTTTTCACCTTGCCAAAATTGAAAACTCGTAAATCCGAGCGTTGAAGATTCGAAAAATTCGAGTCGAAAAATTGTAAAAAATGAAAAACTGAAAAATCGAAAAATAAAAGATCGAGAAAGCAATTTTGGTAATTTCTGCACATTTTTTATGACGCCAAACAAATTAAAATCGACAATTTAAAATCTGTGACAATTTTTAAAAAGTGACTTGAAAAATTACAAACATTTTGTTTTAAATTTTATCAATCGTTAGAACTGTGTCGTATTTCCATTAGCTAGCAGTTTTTAATTACTGCATTCCTTCCACATGACTCACATTACACAAAGTCGTCCCAACAACAAAAAACCAAACAAACACACCAACCAAAATCCAAAACAAAACCCCACTTACTTGTACTTGAACTTCGGATCCTGCAGAATCTGCACACTCAAAATGCTCTCCGCCGGAAAATGCTCCTTAATCGAATCGCAAGTATTATCCGAATAACAGATAAAATTGGAATTCTGCAGAATGCACCACCTCCCGCTATACTCCCCGAACAAATCCTCCACCGGCCCGCTCTGCACCTTATACAGCATCCCCTTCTTATGCACGAAGCTCTTCACTTCCAGTTCCGGTCTCTGGACCACCGCGTCCCTATTTTTGATCCCTTTCACCACATCGGGCGCTTTTTCCAGCGCGCCCTTCCACTGCTTCTTCAGCCAGACTCCCAGTTTCTTGGCTTCGGTGGTGTTGTCTTTGGCGACTTCGTTCGACGTGAACCACTGAGTTTTGGGCTTTTCTTTAGGGGTGTTCTGAAGGGGGTGTTGTTCTTCTTCCGGTAAAGAGTCGACGCGGACGGGGGGCGTCGGAGGCGTTATGAATTCTTCGGGCTCGGAATCGTTCGATATGCTCCAATCGTCGAGGGTCTTGCCCACGGAGAGGGTGCCGTACATGTCACCATTGAAGAAGTCCTCGAGGAGTTTGATGTCTTCGGAGGGGAGGGCGGACTGCATTGGTTGTTTTTCTGGAAAATAAGGAAATGGTTACTTTTTTAACCCTCTGGTGATGTTAAAAAATTAATTGCGAAAATTTTAACCAGAAAAAAAGGTTGCTTTAAATTTTGTTTGTTATTTCTTTACAAGACTAGTAAGTCGTCCGATTTCACAAATTTAAATTTAAATTTAACCTCTGAAATAACAACATGTTCGATATACTTAGTTTAATGCCTGCAATTTATAATTTTCAAGTCGTGTTCGAAACTTTCTATGGGAACACAGACTGCAACTCGATTAAGGATGCCGAAGATTAAATTGGAGCAATAGGTCAGGAATGTCGGTAAGTCTATGCACAATCAATCAAAATTCACCTCATGGACCGAAATCACGATCCACACAAAAAATCTGTTTTATTTAGCGCTTTTTTAATCAATGTTATCATTATGTAAACACCTACAAATGAATCAATAAAATTACGAATTACGTAAACAGAAAATAACATGTTTGTTTTACAGTAAAATCTAAAAAACCACTAATTCGAAGTAGTTAGTAACGATTTTAATAACGCATGTTCCACGAAAGATCTACCGTTTGTCACTGAAGCAAACACATGCAACGAAGTACAGGCTGAAGAACAAAATATAGAAGTTGGATGATCGGCCAGAAGATCACAGAAAATAATGCAAATATGATGCTACAAAGTGAAGAAAAGCTCGTATAGGGACTAGAAGATCGATCCGTCTAGGAAACTGTAGATTTTAGTAAAAGATTTTGTGGTAGTTAGACCTGGAATATTTAAATTGCTGATGATGAAAATAATAATGGCATAGAAGCTGAACCCGAATATGGAAGAAAGGAAGAAGCTGTCATTTGAACCATTTTTTGGCAATGAAACGCATAGATACACATCGCTATTACATACCAGATGCATTGAAGAGTGGACTGAAAGTTGTGGTATACTGTCTCTCTGAGTCCCTGGGGGCTGATATTCCTATGAAGAGAACGTTAAAAATTAAGTTTCTTTTTAGGATTGAAAATGAATGTCTTAAAGTGTATTTTTTTATGCGCGATAAAACACGGTGTTGTACTCCCAAAATTTTGGGAAAATAAGACGAGTAAGTTTTTAATGAATCAATAAAATGAAGTGGTCCATTTTTTTTCCACTCTGAATAAAGAATTCTGAAAAACAGACACCCAACAAGACGGACAAAAAGGAGAGAACAGAAGGACAGAATGACAGGACAGAACAATAGAACAGAACGGAAGAACGCAATGCAGGATAGAACAAGGGCAGAATGATAGGACAGAATAGAAAAGGATAGAACGGAAGGACGTAATGACAGAACGAAAAGAGGTAATGACAGAACGGAAGGACGGAATGACAGAACGGAAGGACGGAATGACAGAATGACAGAACCGAAGGACGGAATGACAGAATTATAGAAAAGGGCAAAATGACAGAATTATAGAAAAGGGCAAAATGACAGAATTATAGAAAAGGGCAAAATGACAGAATGACATAACGCAAAGAGAGAATGACAGAACGGAGAATAGAATGACAAGAAAGGGGCCAGAATGACAGGAAAGAGGGCAGATTGACGGGAAAAGATGGCAGAATGACGGGAAAAGACAGCAGATTGACGGGAAAAGACAGCAGATTGATGGGAAAAGATGGGCAAATTGGCAGAAAAGATGGACAGATTGACGGGAAAAGATGGCATATTGACAGGAAAAGATGGGCAGATTGGAAGAAAAGATGGGCAGATTGACAGAAAAGATGGGCAGATTGGCAAAAAAGGACAGATTGACAGCAAACAAGGACGAATCGACAGCAAACAAGGACGGATTGACATCAAAGAAGGACAGATTGACAGTAAACAAGGACAGATTGACATCAAAGAAGGACAGATTGACATCAAAGAAGGACAGATTGACAGCAAACAAGGACATATTGACAGAAAATGAGGGGAGAATGACAATAAAAAAGGGAGAATGACAGGAAAGAAGGCTAGAATAACAGGAATGAAGAGCGAGCACCAAAATGACGGGAACAAAGGGCAGAATGATGGGAAAGGTCAAAATGACATGGAACAACATAATAACATGAAAGAGGGGTAACATGACAGGAAAGAAGGACAAAATGGCAGAAATGACAGGAAAGAAGGGCAGAGTGACAGGAAAGACGGGCAGAGTGACAGGAAAGGACAGAGTGACAGGAAAGAAGAACAGAATGATAGCATAAAGACAGAATGACAGGAAAGGAGAGCAGAGCGAGGACATCTGGCCTAGTATAGCAAAAATCGGGGAGTTCCCTCCCTCTGCATAACTCAAGTACATTGAAGTAGTTGGGTGGCTTGACGAGTAGAGGAGCGGGAAAACTCCCTGATATGGACTTGGGGAAGGTACAATGGATCCAAAGGCGAGGCCTATGTGCCGCCTGGCTACGGTCAACACCCATAATTTAGAATCCAGAATCCAGAGGGCACAGTGACACGGGATGAGGGCACAGTGACGAGAAATGAGGGCAGATTGACGACAAATGTGGACAGATTGACAGAAAAGGAGGGGAGAATGACAAGAAATAAAGGGAGAATGACAAGAAAGATAGGGAGAATGATAGGAAAGAAGAGGAGAAAGACAGGAACGAAGAACAGAATCATGGGAAAGGTCCGAATGACATGAAACAATAGAATGACATGAAGGAGGGTCAATATGACAGGAAAGAAGAACAGAATGTTAGGGGAGAAGGTCAGATGGCTGAACAGAAAAGAAGGACAGAATGGCAGAAGTGACAGAAAAGAAGGACACAATGTCAGGAAAGAAGGGCAGAGTGACAGGAAAGAAGGGCAGAGTGATAGGAAAGAAGGGCAGAGTGATAGGAAAGAAGGGCAGAGTGACAGGAAAGAAGGGCAGAGTGACAGGAAAGAAGGACAGAATGACAGAACAGAACAGAATCACAGAATGTCAAAAGACAGGAATGACAGGAAAGGAGGGCGGAGTGACAGGAAAGGAGGACAGAATGACAGGAAAGGAGGGTAGAGTGACAGGAAAGGAGGGTAAAGTGACAGGAAAGGAGGGTAGAGTGACAGGAAATGAGAGCAGATTGACGGGAAAGAAGGGTGGATTGACAGAAAAGAAGGACAGACTGGCAGAAAAGAAGGGCAGACTGGCAGAAAAGAAAGGCAGACTGGCAGAAAAGAAAGACAGATTGGCAGAAAATGAGGTCAGAATAACAGGAATGAAAAGCGTAGAGAGTTTGACAGGAATGACATGAAACAACAGAATAATATGGACGAGGTGCAATATAACAGGAAAGAAGGGCAGAATTGACAGAAAAGAACGGCAGAGTTGATAGAGAAGAAGGGTAGAATGACAGGGAAGGAGGGTAGAATGGCAGGAAAGAAGGGCAGAGTGGCAGGAAAGAAGGGCAGAGTGGCAGGAAAGAACGGCAGAGTGGCAGGAAAGAACGGCAGAGTGGCAGGAAAGAAGGGCAGAGTGGCAGGAAAGAACGACAGAGTGGCAGGAAAGAAGGGCAGAGTGTCAGGAAAGAAGGGCAGAGTGGCAGGAAAGAAGGGCAGAGTGGCAGGAAAGAAGGGCAGAGTGGCAGGAAAGAAGGGCAGAGTGGCAGGAAAGAAGGGCAGAGTGGCAGGAAAGAAGGGCAGAGTGGCAGAAAAGAAGGGCAGAGTGGCAGAAAAGAAGGGCAGAGTGGCAGGAAAGAAGGGCAGAGTGGCAGGAAAGAAAGGCAGGATGGCAGGAAAGAAGGGCAGGATGGCAGGAAAGAAGGGCAGGATGGCAGGAAAGAAGGGCAGGATGGCAGGAAAGAAGGGCAGGATGATAGGAAAGAAGAGCAGGATGATAAGAAAGACGGGCAGGATGACAGGAAAGAAGGGCAAGATGACAGGAAAGAAGGGCAGGATGACAGGAAGGAGGGGCAGGATGACAGGAAGGAGGGGCAGGATGACAGGAAGGAAGGGCAGAGTGACGGGAAAGAAGGGCAAAATGACAAGAAAGAAGGGCAAAATGACAAGAAAGAAGGGCAAAATGACAAGAAAGAAGGGCAAAATGACAGAAAAGAAGGGTAGAATGATAACATAAAGACAGAACGACAGGACAGAACAGAATAACAGAATGTCAAAAGACAGAAATGACAGGAAATGAGCGCAGAGTGACAGGAAATGAGGGCATATTGACGGAAAAGAAGGACAAATTAACAAAAAATAAGATTGACGGAAAATGAGGGGAAAATGACAGTAAAGGGAGAATGACAGTAAAGGGAGTATGACAGTAAAGGGAGTATGACAGTAAAGGGAGTATGACAGTAAAGGGAGTATGACAGTAAAGGGAGTATGACAATAAAGGGAGTATGACAGTAAAGGGGGAATGACAGTAAATGGAGAATGACAGGAACCAAGGGCGAAGGACAGAATGACAGCAACGAAGAGCAGAATCATGGGAAAGGTCAGAATAACATGAAAGAAGGGCAACATGACAGGAGAGGTCAGAAATGACAGAAAAACAAGATAGAATGACAACATACAGACAGAACGACAGGACAGAACACAATAACAAAATGTCAAAAGACAGAAATGACAGGAAACGAGCGCAGAGTGACAGGAAAGAAGGGCAGATTGACATGAAAGAAGGGCAGATTGACAGGAAAGAAGGGCAGATTGACAGGAAGGAAGGGCATGTTGACAGGAAAGGACATGTTGACAAGAAAGAAGGGCATGTTGACAGGAAAGAAGGGCAGATTCACAGGAAAGAAGGGAATATTAACAGGAAAGAAGGGCATATTGACAGGAAAGAAGGGCAGAATAACAGGAACCAAGGGCGAAGGGCAGAATCATGGGAAAGGTCAGAATAACATGAAAGAGGGGCAACATGGCAGAAGAGGTCAAAAATGATAGAAAAGAAGGGCAGAGGGACAGGAAAGAAGGCCAGTGACAGAAAAGAAGGGCAGAGTGACAGGAAAGAAGGGCAGAGTAACAGGAAAGAAGGGCCGAGTAACAGGAAAGAAGGGCAGAGTGACAGGAAAGAAGGCCAGAGTGACAGGAAAGAAGGGCAGAGTGACAGGAAAGAAGGGCAGAATGACAGGAAAGGGCAGCATGACAGGAAAGAAGATCAAAATGACAGGAAAGGACTCTGTGACAGAAAAGGATAGAATAACAGAACAGAATAGAACCACAGAATGTCAAAAGACGGACAGAAAGGGAGGACAGGACAGATCAAAATCACAGAAGACAACGGTAGAATGACATGACATGACATGACATGACATGACATGACAGAGCAAAATGACAAGACAGAATAGAATGACATGAGAGAACAGAAAGACAGAACAAAACAACATATTGACAGAATATAATGGTAGATTGACAGAAAAGAAGGACAGACGGACAGATAAGCTCAGAATGATAGGACAGAATAAAATGACATGATGGAAGAGAATGACAGGATAGAACAAAATGACAGAACAAAACACATTTATAGAGCAGAACAGAATGCTAGAACAGGGCAGAATGGCAGGACAATACAGAATGGCAGATCAATACAGAATGACAGGACAGAACAGACTGGCTGGACAAAACAAAATGGCAAGACATAATAGAATGAGAGAACGGAAGGACGGCACAAAATGAAAGACTAGGAGGATGTCGTGAGAGGTAAGAATGATGAAACAGAAAGACAAAATGACGGAACGCACAACGGAATGACGGAACGCAAGGACGGAATGACAGAATGTACGGACACAATGACAGAACAGAATAGCGGAACAAAAGGACCACGGACGGATAGAAAGACAGAACGACAGAACAGACAGACAAAACAGGAAAACAGAATGATAAAATGACAGGTTAGAAGGATGGAGGACAGCAACACAGAAGGACATAGGGCAAACGATAGACAGAAAAACAGAACAGACGATAGAAAGACGTCCAGAAAATACAAAAAAATGTGGTGGAAAAATGCACGTCAAAATCTCCACAATTT